CCTAGGTGTGTAGGAGGCTATACCATTTGGGTTCGTGCAAATGCACTCTATAATGTTTGAATGATGATGAATCTGCCTGACACATTTCTCAGAATGTATCCCCCTTGATAAGGAACACGTGGCTGTACATGTACTTTTGCTTTAGGGTTCTAAAGATAGGCTTCTTTGACAATAAACTCACTTTTAATATTGTGAGGGTATAGTGATGAAACCATTATTTGTAAAAGGAGCTTAAAATTTTGTTCTTAAGGGTCTAACCTCTAGTGAAACAACAGCTATCATCTCTAAAGCCTAACTCACTGAATTAATCATTTGGGATTAAATGAACTTTGGGTTTGTTAAAAGTATCAGCATACATGGATTTATACACTGTTTAAACCAGCACACATTAATCTGGATACCACAGAAATTCTAGTGAGAATCACCTAATGTAAAACAATCAATCTTTAATCTCTTGGCTTTAGTCCTATTTAGCACTGAATATGCAGATTTACCCGTGTTGAATCATTGATCTCCATTTGAGCCAAAAGTTTCCCATTAATGCTGAAATTGCTGAACCGCCCTCGTTCATAGTAAATGATACAGTGGCCTTCACTGGAGACAGAAATCAAGCGTGGGAACAAGCAGTTTTCTGGTCCTTCAAGGGCTCTCAGCAAATCTCCAGTGATTGTGTGGACAAGGCAAGGGCCCTCTGCAGGGTGGGGACATCAAGGACACAGTCAGTGGGTGATGACAAATCACATGCCAGCTTTCACCAACCCCCAAAACTTTTCCTGGACATGCACTCAGATTTGTTGAAAGAAGACAGAAAAGGAAGGAGGTGTGCTGGCCACAGCCAAGCGCTGATGTTATATTCAAACAGAGCAAATACAGAGTGTTAAATAACACACGCACATATACTCCAAATTGCTTATCTAGGTAAATACTTGGTTTTTCCCCTTGTCAGATAATTTCGTAATAAAAGGATATAGTTCATAGATTATGTGAGAATAAAAGACTTTATGTCCCAGAAATTTTCTCTTAATGTGCTTTTAGAAATTTTTCTTTAATTTTAAGAGATCAGAACAGTTGCTAATTTTCTCTAGCATTAAAATTTTAACATTGCACCTCATAAATACATTACTATCAAATACGTTTTATCTTTTTCTGTAGTTTATGCATAAAATGTAAAAGCAAAATTTAGAAAATTAATCAAATAATTCAGACTACAGAAATACTTTTTGTCTTTTA